TATAATTGCACTTCTAGGCTGGTGTTTTTCATTCCTAGTTTTGCTTCTGGTCGTCTTATTTGACCGACAGTTCGGCCGTCGAGTTCGACTATGTCCACCGTATGCTCCACCAAAGAGTACTGCAGGAACGGTGACTTGCGCTGGATTTTAGTAAAAGTAGCCTTTCGCTGAATCTACCTAATTCTCTCCTCACTCACCCACCCGCCCGGGGTCTGGTGTTTAGCTTAGTTCAGCTTATTTGAGGGAACTGTATGTGTGTACCTGTGTACATGTGTGTTGTAATATCAAAAAAGTAGTTCCTTAGCTTATTGCCGGTACCAAGTGAAACGAACCAATGAGGTGGAGCAAAGAAAAAAAAAGAGCAGATAGTGAAAAAAACTCCTTGGAATTTTTAATGAGAAAAAGCTGCGGCTCTTGGGAGGGTAAAGTGCTAGGTCGAAAGGGGAAAGGGGTCGCAGAGGTCACGTGGATCATCATCGATGTGTGGAAGATGCAGCCAGATACTCCATTGATAATCGCACAGTCCGCCGACAAAGTTGCGGAAACGGACGTATTCGCTATGATCGTCGCCACTCCGCTGCGGTTCGAACCAAGGGGGGAGGGGCGTTTAAGGGCCACGTAGACTATGGCCGCAAGGTTCGGTAGATGCGATCGCTGGCGGGCTCATCGCAGTTCACATATAGTCAAGTAAGGAAGACTGCGAGGACCTTTGCGTGAGAATGATGATGTGAAAGCATGAGCGATGGGTTGTGCATAATATAATATTTACAATTTTTACGGGTATCAGGAGGACGTCAGTCGGGCAATAGTGTGGGCGCACTACTTCAAATAAAATAGCCTATAAAACAAATGTTACTACAATGCAACAAATAGTATAAGATACTTTTTGGCCGCCGTGATCCATCGGACTGATGGTATTTGAGGTCGCCCCTACTATAATAAGTTATGCTATAAAGCAAATGTTACTAGAGTATACAAAGTAGTATACTAATTGTGATTTTAAAGGCGTTCGGATGACAGCGGTCAAGTGGTAATGTGGCGCGCACTACCATATCGAATGACGCTTCGAAGTTTCATATAATCGGCAAACGTTTAAAGACAAAGTCAAGAAGCCGTAGATGGGAGGTAGAAGCCAGTCCATGACGATACGCCAGTAGCTTTTTGTATCCATCTTTTCATTGCTAGTTAGCTAACGACAGCGTTACATAATGACGTTCACCATTTACTGGAGACATAATTGCGTTGCAAGTCATTTTGCAGCTATTCGCAATTATCCGTGCGTCTCATCTTTCTTCTCTTACGGGAATCTATTACACAAAATCAATGCAGTGAATTGCCGCCCTTATATTTGCAGACACTAAAAAGATGTAGCATTATTTTCAGCATCCGTTTTTGCCTTCATCTCGTTTACACAATTATTCCGTCCGCAGTACGATTTTACATTGCCAC